CCACGTTACCGATGACAACCCGCCATAAATAACGTTAAGTAACGTCATAACGATGATCTTCGTGACACCTTACAACTTGCAAAAATTACACCTGCTTCTGAACTACAGTACGGTCAATCGGACTATTTAGCGATTAGTATATTTTTTGTACATCTACAGTTTAAAATAAACAGTTATTCACCAATGACGCACTCATTAAAATCTCTATGTCGTCTACATTCTTGTAAAACACATAAAAAACCTTGTATCACTATTGTTAAAAAGAAAAACCAACCCAACCTAAAAATAAAAAATATCTAATTACCCTCTTCCTAAATTTTTGTTATTTAATAAGCTATGTAATTTGTGTGAAAATTTGGACGGACTAATCCTGCTTAAATCTCCAATTGGCAACTAGGGGCTTTGTCCTATTTGAGTTCCCCAAGAATGTATCTATAGTTATGAAAATATAATTTTTTTAAGTATTTAAGTAATATTCCAAAAAATTTCTAAAGAAAGTTTATTAGTATGATTTTAAATACGATTTTAAATACTTAAAATTCATTATAACATTGTGGCATTAGAGTTTTTAACAAAACTAGAGACAAAGACGTATTTGAAATTTTATAACTTTGATAACGATGTAAACAAACCCCACTTAATCAATATTTCCCCAGCAATATTTTTAGTATAAATTAAAAAAATAAAAAGATATCTCATAATAAGAGGAATGCATATTATGCTACTCTTTGCATCTAAAACTATTTAAGCTATACAAAAAAATACATTTACTCAGACATTAGTGCAATTATTTTTTATAAATTTTCCTTAGTAATAATTATCATTTTCTTTTAACAATCATTTCCCAGAAAAAATTATTTGATCTTAAGAATGCTCCTTAAATAATCATTACCCTCTTTGCCCTTTTAAATACGTCATTGAACACTATTGTGTACAATCTTATATTATTCTTATATTTTGATAATAATTCTATAAAATGTATTATATTACGTATTAGTGTAGTGACTTATTTAGTTATTTAATGACGACATGTAGTATGTAATAATAATATGTAAAGTAGATTACGCTTTTAGAGAAAAAACTTTTCAAAATTAATGATTTCCAAACAAAATTTTGAGTGTTATTATATTATATTTTTCTTTTTAATAGGTCACGATATAATTCAACAATATATTTATCATTAAATTCTTGGTGTACTTGTTATTGTTAAACCGATAAAATGCCAGTATTTATCATTCATAAGACTTCAAATTTTTGTAAACATTTTACATTAAAAACAACCAAATTATTAATTAAAAAAATATTATGGATATTATAGAAACTTGTTTTTGTCAAATTGACAAATATTATTTGAAGATTTTTTTTTAAATCATATAGAAAAACAACTTAAATAAGGCTAAATAATTCTTAGTAATAATAAATTAACAGTGTGGCTAATTTCCTAGTGATCTTAATAAAATTTTAACTAGCAATTCTATTTTCGGAAAAAAATTCCTTCTTTTAGATAACTAAAATTTTTCAAAATTGAATTTATTGAATAAAAGTTTTTCCTATCAATTATTTTCTTGCTAAATAGAAAAAAACAAAAATACGCTATTTTGAAAAAATTACTTGACGTGTTTTGATTTTTAATATTTTTTTCATATAATTGAGTTTACCTACACTACTTCAGGAAAATTCTTCGATAAGACCAGGAAATTATTTCAATATTCTGCAGTTATTTAAATGTTGATTTTTTTTATCAAAATGATCTTTTTTCTGGCAACATTTTTTAGTTTAAGGTTTAAAACTTTGACTAGATTACCCATAGACATTCTTATTATATCTTTAATATTTTTTTATTAGTTTTTTTCCATGCATTGTTTTTTATTTGGTTATCTGATTATGTTTGTATATTAAACATTATTGTCCGTTATTTTATTTTATAATTTCTCACAAAAAAGTTATAATAAGCAAATTGTAATTAACATTTTTTTAAATTTATTGTTTAATGGGGTATTTAAACAGAAATCTCTGTGTTACTATCAGGCTCTCGGGTCTGGATGAATAATAAGATCTATTACAAAATTTTTCTGTTGTAATAGAAAAATATTGATAATTATCAACATCTAGACAACTGTTGTTATGGCCTAATAGAATGGCCTAAGAAATATTTTTAAGCTGTTTGCTAAGCGGTATAAGCATACTATATCTCTAGATATTTAACCTCCTGGCCATGCAGTATTCCGATCTAAATCTAAGAAAAGAAACGATTATTTGTCTGAGTTATGCTATCTATGGAGTCCTAGGTCTGTGGTTTATTAATAATACTATGCGGAAATCATAGTTATGGGGAAATCATAGTTGCGCGTAAAAAAGGGATAATTCAAAATTATCGTTTTTTCTTAATGCAAAAAGTACTTATTTCTATTAAAAACTTATAGATTTTTATTTTTACAATGATTAAAAAGATTTAATTTACAATATTAAAAAAGTAGCCTTAAAGATTTATTAAGATAACTCAACAACAAAAAAATTTTCTTATTTTGCACATCATAATGAATATTTTTCGTGACTTGTCCCATTATACACCACGTAATTTTAAACTATATAATTATGATAACCCGAATACTCAGGTATTAGGTATAGCCATGCCTATTTCTCAACTCCCAATTATCTTAAATGGTTGATACAATAATAAAATTATAATAGTATTTATACAATAGTATATAATGTATAGCGATTTAAATTCGGTAAGTCACTCATTTTTTCAGAAATTTTTGAAAAATTTTAATTTTTATAAAATGAAACAATATTAGGTTCAAATAACTCTACAATAATATGTAATTAAATTTTTTTTTTCATTCCACCAGGATTATTAATTCCCATTTATAATATTTTTAAATGGGAACTCCATTTATAACATAATAATTTGATAGAGAAAAAATTATAAACCATCAATCGTTTAGGTTTTGTGTTTGTTTAAAGATTTGAATTTCAAGTAAAATATCATTGGTTTAATTTTATAATGACGGCGGTTGAAATAATTTATTTTGAAAGCTCATATATTATTTATCATCGTATTTACAAAGAAAATTTTTCTATACCGGTTGATCAATAATATTTATTATATTAGTCACAATAAATTGGTTTATGTGACATAATAAAAAAAATACTGAATTTATAACAATGAAATAACATAAGATTTTTGATCTAAAATCACTTATCATGTTTAACTTTAACATGCTGCAATAGATGTACATCGGATAAAAAAAATTATAACAATAATATTGTTTGTAATATTTTTTTAATCATATTATCAAGTATAATATAGTTGACTGAAAGACCAGCAATTAAACCTTAACTTTGGCCATACACACAAAGTAATAATAATAATAACGAGTTTTTAAAAGAGTTTAAGTGATTGTATTTCAAATATACAAACGTAACACGCACACACACAATATAATAAAACAATAGCATAGTGAGGTCGCGGTACAGTGTGGACGTAGCATAATTGGAACAAATATAGATTTTATCTGACAGTGATTAAAATCACAATCATAAGGAACACAACGATATAAATCTATAAATAATTTTTAATTTAATAAATTGGTGGATTATTAAAAAATCAACACCATCTCCTATTTCATTAATTATATTTAGATTAGTAATTCTTTGATTTATAAGTATAATATATGAATAAAAATACTAATTATAAAATTTTAATTTAGAATGACATTAATATACAATAGTTTAGTATTGTAATTTTTACGGAAAAAATATAAAAAATTATAATGTTATTTTATATTTCGTTATTTTTCTGACAAACGTGTATAAAAATTGAAGGGCTTGATACAAAACTTTTCAGAAGGTACTTATGAATAAATGGTATACAAAAAAATTTCATCGGAGACCACAATATAAATTTCTATACCTATTTTTACGTCACTTTCATATATGCAATCAGATTTTTTCTATTTTTTTTTTTTTTTTTTTGAGATAATTACTCTTTTTTTGTAACTAATTTTTTGCAGCACAAGCTACGCTTATCGAGATTAAATTAATAAACATGTATTAGTATATGTTTTTAAGTATAGGTTTAAAGACGATATCTTATTAATTGCTATTTATCTTTATATAGCAATAATTTGATTTTAATAAAAATAATTAAATAAATATATTTTAAGTAATATATGTTAATTATATATTCTGTATCTTTTGGGAATAAATCATATCGTTATACTTTAGTAACTCTATATGCAATAATTTTATATACAAGTAGAGTTAATACTTAATATGACATGTATAGTGATTGTCTCCTTTGCGGAATTTACATTTTGTATACCCCGATTGGCCAGTTTTTAGCCAAATAATGACTTAGTACTCATTTAGATTTTACGAGAAAGATGGAAAGGAAAGAGCCTAGAAGAAAAAAAAGTTCATATCTCTTCATGGGATTCATTGAAAATTGCAGCAAAACTTGTTTTATGTCTCATTGAAAAATAGGACAAATAAAATAATATAAATAAAGAAACAGAGACATTGCTTCTTTATATTTTTATGAGTGACATACTCATAAAAATATTTTTATTTTAAGTTCGTATTATTTAGTTTATGAACTAAAGAAAGAGCAAACTGTAGATATCACTACTTTGAAAACCTGGTTTTTTTGGGAAGTGTTAGGCTGTAAATTGGCCATTTTTCATAATTAGGTTTTTGTTGAAAATCTAACTAACATTTTGTTTTGAAGATTATAATGTTAAAAAAATAACTCTTCATATGTTGATATCACTTAGGTTTTGTGTATTAACTTATTACTCATCATGTAATTTTAAATGTTATTCTATTTAACTTCAAAATATTTTCATTATACTCTAATAGGAACAAAATATTTTTTTATTTGTTAAAAGTATACTTTGCCAACGACTTTAATGAGTTATGTTTTAATATATTCATTTGGTATAAAATTATATTTGTTTAAATAATAGATTTGAATTTTAACAGTGTATGTTAAAGAAAAATCTCATCGCCTTTTCGATCACGATTTTAAAATGCACTTATTTTTATACCTGTCCATAATAAAAAGCCGGGACGTTGTTCTCAACTCTCATTTAGTTTTAATTTCTTGTCAATTATTAAATAGTGATAATTATCTAAAATATCACTTAGTCACTTTTAACATCACTAAATTGATTTTCTTTTATCTTTTATTACTTATGTGGTAATAAATTAGTATTATTTTTATCACATAATTATTTAAAATTTCAATTAGTAAAACATAAAGGTGCCATTTTAATAAATTTTCTTACAAGTATTTAACTTTTTTTTTAATGTAATTTTCATTAATTTTATCATGAATAAAAATTATTAATTGCACAGATATAAATTATTTTATTTTATAGTTCAACTTTTAAAAGTTATTTTTATTATAGAGTTTAACATCAATATAATATTTTAGTTAATAATTCATCCCAAGTAGTTGGGATTAAGGCGAGGACGAAGAAGAAGTATCATTAATTAACTCCACAATGAAGCTCTTGATATTAGAAGTATTATATTTACTCGTAAGTATAAAATATTATTTTTAATGCGACTTTTTCCATTTTTATTGTTTTGTTATAAATTATACCAATCAAATTTATTTAATAAGACTAAATATTTGTTTGATAATGTTCAAACTGAAATTTTTCAGTTCATTTTTACTTTAAGGATATAAATATTCTTTCATTATTTATTTTTATAAAAAAATTTGTATATATTTATTAAATTGAATATCTTTTTTTATGACATATTTTATGATTTGTAAGAGATCTTAAATAATTATAAAATCATACATGTTTTGACACTAAGGGTCTACTTGTACTAAGGATGGCAATTCTAATTTTTCAAATAGAAACATAAACAGTTTATTGATTATATAATAACCTAATTAATAAAATGACTGTTGAATAATAACTTGTTGGTCAAAAAAAATCTGTATTCGATTTTATATTTTCGTCTTTAAATTGCTATAACTTTATGAAAAATTTTGGATCAATACAATTTTTTTTTATAATACATTTTTTTTTTGAAAAACTAATATTTTTATAAGTTTTTAACGCTTTTAAGTTGATAAAAAATAGTTAAACAATAACTTTAATTTATAAGAGAATAAAAAAATATGTTTTATTTAATGATAATTTATCATTAATAAACTATATATTTTTATTAATAAAAAACCCAGAACAGGGGGGTCGTGGCATAGTTGGATCAAGTATAATGATATCTGACAGTGATTAAAATCACTATCAAAAAAAAACTTCGATTCAAATCTTTAAATAGTGTTTAATTTTAAAAATATTGGTGGATTATTCCAAAAGCTACATGATTTGCTATTTCCTTATTAATATCCTGATTAAGATAAAGTATGTCGAATGAAAAAGGGATTAAAATATTATTTCTCATAAAAAAATTGTGTTGATCCATACACTTTTCAATAAGTTATAGCATTATAAAGAGTAAAATGTAAAAAACAATTTTTTTTCAAAAATCGTATTTTTTTTATTAACTTTGATGTCTGTTTTCACCGTGAAGACAAAATAAAGTCCGAAATTTTTTTTTCCTGATAAATTATATTATATTAGCTTTATTTTAAGATATATGTAAAAGTGTCAGTATTTCCGGAACACTTTCAAAAGTTAAATTGAAAAAGTAAATTTTTTGTGAAAAAGTTGTCATTTTAAATCCCCCCCTGTGGGCAGGTAAAGGGTCAGATTTATAAAAAAATATACCAAATGATAGGTAAAGACATCAAACATCTATAAAAAAAAGGAGGTTTTCCCTATTTACGGTGAATGAGGAAAATTTTTTCAATTTTTGAGGGTAATGTCTTCGACTAGATACGATTTGTAATCTTTTGACGTACATTGAAAGAAATCGGTTCGATGAGAGCTGAGGAAAGTGGTAACAGACACAAAAAAAAACCCATCATAGTAAAACCAATTCTCAGCTTCGCATCGAAGTTAAAATTGATAGCGCTAGCTTTATGTTGATAACTTTTGAATGTTTAACAAAAACCTGTAATAATAATATTTTTTAATTAAAAAATGAGCAAAAAAATTGGACATTATTTTTAAACATTATCTTTCAGGTGAAGCGGTTTTTTTTTATCATAAAACTATCCTCAAAGTTATTTAATTTTTTGCTATTCTTTTATAGTTTAATTTTAATTTTTTTTTATATAGTTGTTCATATCAATTGTAAATGGCCATATAAATAAAAAAACTGAAGAAGAAAAACGTTTAATACTGTATAGAAAAAATGTATACAATGCAAAAGAGGAATTGTATAATTGTTTGAAAAATAATAAAGTTATTGATAAAGTCATAAGTATACTCAGTTAGTAAATACTTATTAATCTTAAATATAATTAATATATTTTGAACATTAATATGCTTATCAATGCATCTTTTATAACAAATTCTAACTAAGCGACAAAAATATTTTTTTTTTTTATATATATAAATAGACAATTATAGTGTAACATAGGTATTTCTTGCTAAATTTATATTGTTCAGGAAAAGGTGAAATCACATTCAATTAGGCGATAAATATATTCACTGGGTAATATTGGTGTCAACTAGCTTAAAAAATACACTGATTATTATGGAAACATAAATAAGTGAATAATAATATCCAGCCGTTTACAGTTACCTCTAATTCATTAAAAAATCACTTACAATAATTGTAAGTGATTTTTATAGAGAAAATACCTCAGCACATACGTATGCAAACTACATATTTTTATAAATATGTAATTTTCCAACGTAAGTCCAGTATGAACTGATCAGACTTCATTGGTTTTAGCCTTGCACACACACAATGCCGGATCTTAAACTGTAAGGGCCCCGGTGCGAAAAAATTTAGGTTGGGTTTAATTTAAAAATGTTATAAAATAAGTCACAAGTATACAACTATGATAACTATATAGTTACAAAATAATTATCTACAGAATAAAGCCAGCCTTCAATATAACAGTGAAAAGTAAAATGTGTTAGATGTACTATTTTAGAAAATTTTTTCCCTTGACTTTGGATTGGCAAAATTGTCAATTATCTTTTCAATATTAGATTTTTAGTTCGTTCCTTTTCTGTACTTAAAATTAACATACGAGAAAAATAAATACTAAACAATCGAATATCGATCAAACATTTACATTTACCATTCACTATCGATGGGAATAAATTAAATAAACTTTCAAAGTAAAATTGGATACACCATTTGAAAAAATAAAATATACATTTTACCAAGTACCAATTTTATTTTATAGTAATGATATCCATAATATCGGGGCCCCTAAATATTTAAACGAGTCGGGGATCCAGCACAATGCTACACTTGCATCGGCGGTTCATCCGGCACTGCACACACTATTGGATTCGGAACCTTTTTAATATTTAAAACGAAAAATACTAGTATTTTTGTTTAAAAAGCGTCGGACACTTAATATAAGAAAAATGTGGCACATAGCGCCCACGCTTTTTTGACAAGTATTTTTCGTTTATTATTGTTTTAAGCTTATTTTAAAAATTATTTTTAACTTTTTAGTTCGATGTGTTTTAAAAGCGTGTTTTTTTAAACTAAATTTATTTAAATTATCAATCTTCCAATGAAAAATAACTTAATTCTATTATAGGTGGCAAAGAGGATACTAGACTTAATTAGTATTTAATTACTACAATTTTTTGGCGATTATATACAAATAAGAAATATTTTTACCAACACATGAGATTAAAATAATAATATCTATTTAATACTTAATCATACTAATTGTGAGATTATGTAACATCTATTTTCAAACTCAATAAAACCTTCTTTGACATATCCTCGAAATAAGTCTATATTAGTTAAATAAATAATTGAAATATTTCAGAACAATATAAAACGGATTTTAAAGAAATGTTGAACGAGTTTAGAGTACGACTTTATGACAGATTAATTACACCTGATCATATGCATACAAAAATGGGAAAATACATATGTGACAAATATATAATGGAAATAGACAAACATGGTGGAACTTCGAGTTGTTTAAAAAAAGTAAAAGTGTGTTCTGAAATATTTTATCATTTTTTGATGTTGAATATACAATACGAGGTTAGTAAATGATCGTAAAAACTAAATTTCTTATTTATAAATAATTTTAACTTTTCCAATTTTATTTAAGAAAAAAATAGAATTTCATACATTATAAAAATTATTATTCCCATAAAATTATAATTATAGCGTTCCAAAAAACTATTTAAATCAAATTATATATAATACAATGTACTTAATGATGAAAAAAGAATAACTATCCGAAAACTTGATCTCTAGGAGTTACTGGATATTTTTTTTAATGCTTTATAAGCCCATTAAGGGCCGTAGTGGCCTCCCCGAAGGAGGAGATTTCTTAACCATAGATACTCCGGGGCGGGTGGTTAGTTCGTCACCATAGACAGGTATGGCGACTCCAATTACCGAACTGATCTTTTGCTCTGTAAATGAACCAGGGGCAGTGCGCGTTAAGCATTGCCGCGTTACCGACTCGGTCAAACCGTCTCTCTCTTGGATATTAAAGCCAAAAATTGCTGATTTAAAAGTGATTTATGTATCAATGGAATATCTAAATTACACAAAACTAATTAAAATTAAAATTTATTAATTTATTGTTTAATGCACTGTACGATTAAAAAAAGGAAAATGTTCCGAACAAGTTTTGAGTAATGGGTATCTAAAATAGAAAATCGTGTAATTTTTGATGAATATTTTAGTTTTTTTTTAAATTACTCTATTTGAATGATGCATGAATCAATATAGGGATCAATAAAGGGACATTCAGCTTTGGACATAACCGTCGCTAATGTAATACAAGATTTTGGTATCCGAGGCTTACGAAGTATATCAAACAACTTATACGTTTATGTATACATTGTTTTATGGTAAAGTGCTCTAGAGGAAAATAAGCATGATTTATGCACCCTTTACCACCTGGAAATAAACCAAATGATTTAGTACACATAGTCCTTTTGTTACAACAACAAATGGAGATCGATAATACTTTTAGTTGTAGACAAATAGACTACGTATGTACATTTATTCACAACCAAAGATACCAGTACACAAGAAGCGATTAGGTGTATCCGAATTCTCATTCAACTTTGGGACTTACCTGATAGTGACTCAAAGGGTTGTCAGTGACTGGGGCACATGCTTTACTTTATTCGAATTTGATTTTTTTGTGAAGAAAATGGAATCTATCAAAAAAAATTAAAATACATTGAATGCTATTCGAAGACCACAGGCTATTGGGCAGGTTGAGCGGCTGCATAGTACCTTAATGAATATAATTATTTTCCAATTGGTATGTGAGGAAAAGTGGGATGAACTAATGGAAATGATACAACAAAAAATGAATTCTTCGGTCAGTAGACTACAGAATCGTCTTCCTTTGAGCTATTACATAGCTGTGTTCCGAGATTCAATTTAAAACAATTATTTAGTCTTAGTACTACTAGAGACAAATGGACAGCACCAAAAGAATTGCAATCTTAAACTAGAGAAAATATTGTGAAGAAACAACAAAAAATTTAATTGATATACGATAAAAATGATAATATTGAATACAAGAAAGGGGAGGTGGTGGTGATGTCAAGAATTCCAAAAAAAACTCCATACTAAATGGATAAATGTAAATAAAAATAAAAATAGAATTAGTACTACTCAAAATAATAACGAAGCCACATTTATAGAGTCATTAAACTACTTATTCGATATTAGTCATGCTAATGTATTAAATTCCGATTTATCAAAAGGAGAGAAGGACCCAACTTCCTTATTGCTCAGCGTGAAAAGGATTGCTCAAGGGCTGTAATTCCATCTTTCAAAAAAGTTCCACCCAAAAATACTCGTTCAAATAATAAAAAAATTATTGAGTTTAAAGAACTTGAATGTCGCACATGAAAAAAACTAGAAAGTCTATCAAGTATCGATGATAGCTTTCATAATACAAGTCACTTAGAATTTGAATGCGATATTGAAAAACCAACAAGTAAAACACGTTTAAAAATTATGACATTAAAATTAATTAGCAAAAATTAGCTGTAATAGAGTCTGGTGACGGAAATGAAAAGCTTCTTGGTGTACCACAGTTATTTAAGTAGACCGAACAATCACAAGCAGATGTTGTCGTAAAATTATTATTAGACTGGTATTTAGTTAATCGCACCACTATGATATATTTTGACACTACGGCTTCTATACAGGAAGGTTAAATGGTGCATGCACTTTGATAGAGAGTAAATTAGATAAGAAATTACTAAATTTTGCATGCAGTCATCACATACACGAAATAATCATTAGTCAAGTTATTGATAAGCTTATGTCTCCATCCACCAGATATAGTTTTATTTAAACGGTTTTTAAATAATTGGATATATATTAATTAAGATTCATATAGTACTATGATTACAGATGATGAATTGTTCAAAAAAATCAAATCAAATGTATAAAATATTATTGAATTTTGTGAAAATAAACTTAAAATTAATCATTCACGTGATGATTACAAAGAGTTATTGAAGTTATGTTTATTGTATGCTGGAAAGAAACACTCGGGAAAAACTATTTTTAAATCTCTTGGAGCTTTTCATCGAGTTGAATGGATGGCTATAATATATTGCTTTTAAAATTTATATGTTTCGTGACCAATTTAATTGATACCTGACGAACTTAAAGTTGACTATGATTTTATAAATTATGACCCAGAAACTTAGCTAGAAAATGAAAGTTACATTTATGGCTATAATAAAGTCAAATCCTTGTACGTTGTGAATGATCCAGCAAAGAGAGGAGTAGTATTGATGACAAATTTTAATAATTCCTTAACAACAGACGAGGAATAAATGTAACAAATCTTTCAAGTTGTTGAAAAACACAGAAGTGACCAATCATAATGGAAAAAACTCATCTTTGATTAACAAAAAAAAAAAAAAAATGAAAAAATACGATTAATAGCTTCGATGCGAAGCTGATAAGGTATTGGTTTTACTAAGATGTGTTTTTTTTTTTTTGTGTCTGTTACCACTTTTTCTCAGCTCTCACCGAACCGATTTCTTTCAATGATACGTCAAAAGATCACAAATCGTATCTAGTCGAAGAAATTACCCTTAAAAATTGAAAAACATTTCCTCGTTCCCCGTAAAAGGGGGAAACCTCCAAAAAAATTACGAATTTAAAAATCGCTAATTTTCGAAATTTTTTCAATTTTTTTTAATTAAAAGTACTATAACTTTTTCAAAAATAAACATATCAATATAATTTTTTTTTACATAGATGCATAATATCATTACCTTTCATTTGGTATATTTTTTTTATAAATTTAACCCTTAACATGCTCACAAGGGGGGATTTAAAATGACAACTTTTNATGCTCACAAGGGGGGATTTAAAATGACAACTTTTTCACAAAAAATTAACTTTTTCAACTTAACTTTTGAAAGTGTTTCGGAAGGTCTGACACTTTTATATATATCTTAAATTAAAGCTAATGTAATAT